CTGCTCCTGAATCCCTCCATTCCCAAATCTGCTCCTGGATCTGCTCCCAAACTCCTCCATTCCCAAATCCACTCCTGAATCCCTCCATTCCCAAATCTGCTCCCAAACCCCTCCATCCCTGGATCCCTTTCCAAAGTCACTCCCAAACCCCTCCATTCCCAAACCCCTCCGTTCCCAAACCCCTTCCCAAATTCACTCCCAAGTCCCTCCACTTGGAAATCCCCGGAGTTTCCCAACCCCATCCTGGTTTCCCATCCAGCTTTTCCAACCCCTTCCCACTTTCCCGGCAGTTTTTCCCTGCGTTTCCCCCACCCCATCCCGCTTTTCCCCCGGGGACTTCCCAGTCCGGTTTTCCGGCGGTTTCTCCCCATGTTTTTTCCCGGTTTTCCATGGGTTTTTCCCTGTTTTCCGTGTTCCAGGTGCAGCAGTTGGTTCCCAAGCGGGACCAGGCGCTGCAGGAGGAGCAGAACCGGCAGAATTCCAACGAGCACCTCCGGAGGCAGTTTGGGAGCCAGGCCAACAGGGTGGGGCCCTGGATCCAGACCAAGATGGAGGTGAGGGATCATCCCAGCGGGATCCAACGGGATCCAGCCGGATCCGGGGGCTGGGAGAGGCTGGGAATGCTGGAACCGGCGCCGGGATGGGCCGTGTCCGTGTTATCCCGGGTCAGAAAGGGTCGGGAAGGGGTTGGATGTGTGGATCACCAGTGTCCTGATGTTCTCCTGGAAAACCGAGATGGAATTCTGGGCTCTGGGACCTGGGGGGAGACTCAGGGGGGCGGTGGGAAAGCCGGGAATGGAGGAACCGGCCCCGGAATGTTCCGTATCCGCATTATCCCGGGGTGTGGGAGGGCCGGGAGGGGCCGGATCCGGGGCTGGAATGTGGCGTTTTCCCAGGAAATCGGCCGGATCTCCATCGAGATGAACGGGACCCTGGAGGATCAGCTGAACCACCTGAAGGAGTACGAGGAGAACATTGTGGAGTACAAACCCAACCTGGAGCTCCTGGAGCAGCAGCACCAGCTCGTGCAGGAGGCCCTGATCTTCGACAACCAGCACTCCAACTACACCATGGAGGTGGGAGCTGGGAACATCCCAAATCCACAGGGATTTGGGAACATCCCACCGGGATCTGGGCTCATTGAGGGGCTGGGAACGGGCAGGGAGGGATCCTGGAGGGATCCTGGGATGGGCAGGAGGCCCCTGATCTTCGACAACCAGCACTCCCATGGAGGTGGGAGCTGGGGGAATTCACCGGGATCTGGGAGCATCCCAGCGGGATCTGAGGTCATCCCAGCTGGATCTGGGGTCATCCCAGCGGGATCTGGGAGCATCCCAGCGGGATCTGGGAGCATCCCAGCGGGATCTGGGCTCCCTGAGGGGCCGGGAAGGGTCAGGGAGGGATCCCGGGGGTCCCGGATCCCCTCCTGGGGGTGGGTCCATCCCTGATTCCCACCATTCCCATCGGATTCCAGCACCTCCGGGTGGGGTGGGAGCAGCTGCTGACGACGATCGCCCGGACCATCAACGAGGTGGAAAACCAGATCCTGACCCGCGACGCCAAAGGGATCAGCCAGGAGCAGATGCAGGAATTCCGGGCCTCCTTCAACCACTTCGACAAGGTCCGGGATCCAGGGGGGATCCAGGGGGGTCCCAGGGATCAGGGGGGATCCCGGGAACCCCAGGGATTTGTTGGGATCGCTGGGATCCCTCATGGACCTGTGGGTGACACCCCAGATCCCCACCCGGAGCAGCCCCACGGGGTTGTTCCCACTTCGGAACGTGGGAATTTCCTCCTGGTTTCCCTTATTTCCCCCCCGTTTTGCCTTCATTTTCCCCCTGTTTTTCCCCACTTTTTCCAATTTTTCCTTTATCCTGCTCCATTTTTCCCACTTTTCCCTGTTTTCCAGGACCACGGGGGGTCCCTGGGCCCGGAGGAGTTCAAGGCCTGTTTGATCAGTCTGGGCTACGACGTCGAGAACGACCGGCAGGTACTGCCCTCTTCCTCCTCCTCTTCCTCCTCCTCTTCCTCCTCCTCCTCCTCTTCCTCTTCTTCCCATGGCTCTTCCTCCCCTTCCGGGCTCCTCCTCCCGCTCCTCCAGCCATTTCCTCCTCAAATGGATCCTTTCCCTTCCCTTTCCCTCCCTCCTGCTCTTCCTCCTCCTCCTCCTCCTCTTCCCTTTCCTTCCTTTTCCTTGTTCTCCTCCTCCTTCCTTGCTCCTCTTCCTCCCTCCTTTCCTTTCCTTCCCTTTCCTTGCTCCTCTTCCTCCCCATTTCCGGGCCAGTTTCCTCTTCTAACGGATTTTCTGCTTCTTCTCTTCCTCTTCCTCTTCCTCCTCTCCCTGTTCCTGTTGCTCTCCCTCCTCCTCCTCCTCCTCCCGCAGCCGAAGCGCCGCACGGACTCCAAGGATTTCCGTGCCCTCCTGGGCCCCGCCGGATCCGGGCTGGTAACGCTCCTTTTCTGGCTTTTCCAACTTTTTTTTCACCCTTTTCCGCCTTTTTTTCCCATTTTTTGGGGAGGGGGGAGAGGAGGACGGGGCTGGGAATGCGCCGGAACCTTGGAAAAGCTCTGCATGTCTGGAAAAGCTCCAGAATCCCCAGGGGGGAAAAAAGCTCTGGAATCCCTTGAAAAGCTCCAGGATTCCTGAGAAAGCTCTGGAATTTCCTGGGGAATATCTGGAATTTTTGGGAAAGCTGTGGAATTCCCGGAGGAGCTCCAGAATTGGTGGGAAAAGCACCGGGAATCCCCGGAAAAGCTCTGAAAAATCCCTGGAAAAGCTCTGAAATGAGCAGGAAAAGCTGCGGAATTCTCGGGAAAAACCCCAGAATTCCTGACCGCGGCACTCCCCCCCCCCTTCCCCCCCCAGGGTGACGCGGAATTCCAGCGGATCATGGCCGTGGTGGATCCCAACGGCAGCGGGAGCGTGACATTCCAGGCCTTCATCGACTTCATGTCCCGGGAAACGACGGACACGGACACGGCGGAGCAGGTCATCAACAGCTTCCGGGTCCTGGCCGGGGACAAGGTGAGGAAAACCGGGAACGCCGGCGGGTTTGGGAATGGGAGAGGGGGCAGGGGGTTTGGGAACACCACGGTGGGATTTGGGAACGACTTGGTGGGATTTGGGAGCGGTTTGTTGAGGTTTGGGAATCCCGGGGCTGAATTGGTGACTCCGGGAGCCATTTCCCCCCTGGCTTCTCCCCCCTTTTCCCGCCTCATTCCCACTTTCCGGGCCGTTCCCAGAACTACATCACGGCGGCGGAGCTGCGGC